GAATTACTTGATTTTTCAAATTCTTTCAAAATCAAATAAAATTGTCAATTCAAGTTGTTTGCAAACTCTCCTCCCCCCCCACCCCCCCCCCCCCCCCCAAAAAAGAAAAAAAGGGATACATCACTTTCTTTTTAACTGGCCCAGAGATTTTTATAAAAATAATAATAATAATAATAATAATAATAATAATAATAATAATAATAATAATAATAATAATAATAATAATAATAATAATAACAGGTTGCATTTATATAATGCTCTATCCCATACTAGTATAAGCTCTGAGTGCTTTACACCAATCACAAGATCACTGAGCAATTCACACAAGAGATGATATTTCACAGTAACAAGAAAAACCAGTTCAACTATACATTAATTATGTACACACGTAAGGACAGCAGTAAAAACAAAACATATCAGCGCTTACTAACACACTATAACTAAGAATCAAACAAACAAATAGAAGAAGAAAGAGAGGTGCGATGACATTATACAGAGCTCCCACGGACGCGTTGAACACAGACGAACACGAAATAGCGGGTCACAAACATAAAAAAGAAGTAGAGGAAAAATGACGATAGTAAGGATTAGGAAAGAAAAAGCAGCAGTTCCCTGTTGCAGTTCAGGCACAGTTATGAGCATGACATTAATGAATCAGCCCATTTACAATTTACCATTCTACTGTAAATAAGAACATACTAATTTCCCCCTTTGGGAATGGCCTAAAGACACACACTTCAGTCAGTAGCAACGGCCGGGGGGGGGGGGGGTTAATAATATCTAAACTGATCGCAACAGTGCTTACCGTAGCTCTCAAAGCCTTTCCGTATGGACCACTGCGTGACCCGGCCGTCAGCAGAGATAGAAATCAAAACCTCGGCTCTCTCCTCTCCAGAGCCCCTCTCCTTCTCGATCCACTTGAGCTGCCACACCGGGGCCAGATGTTTGCCCGCTGTCGTGCTGAAACAAGAAGTCAACAAATTATCACACTGGGTTTTTTTTATTCATTTCATTTATCTCAGGACAAAAAGATTTATAATTAATATTAACTAACAATTCTTTTCCGACATATTTTCTCCTTATAACCAGTACAAAAGACACAGAAAATAGTAAAAATGAAATATGGAAGAAAAAAAATTTCAGATTACCATCTACCAAACGACACCAAGACACATGACACATACAGAAATGTCTGACACATGACACATACAGAATGTCTGACACATGAGACACATGACACATACAGAAATGTCTGACACATGACACATGACATATACAGAAATGTCTGACACATGACACATACTGAAATGTCTGACAAATGGCACCTAGACACATACAGAATGTCTGACACGTGACACATACAGAAATGTCTGACACATGACACATACAGAAATGTCTGACACAGTCATGACACATGACACATACAGAAATGTCTGACACATGACACATACAGAAATGTCTGACACAGTCATGACACATGACACATACAGAAATGTCTGACACATGACACATACAGAAATGTCTGACACATGACACATACAGAAATGTATGACACATGACACATACAGAAATGACTGACACATGACACATACAGAATGTCTGACACATGAGACACATGACACATACAGAAATGTCTGACACATGACACATACAGAAATGTATGACACATGACACATACAGAAATGACTGACACATGACACATACAGAAATACCTGACACAGACAGAAATATCTGACACATGACACATACAGAAATAACTGACACATGGCACCTAGACACATACAGAATGTCTGACACGTGACACATACAGAAATGTCTGACACATGACACATACAGAAATGTCTGACACATGACACATACGGAAATGTCTGACACATGACATATATAGAATGTATGACACAGTCATGATACATGACACATACAGAAATGTCTGACACGACACATGATACATACAGAAATGTCTGACACATAACACATACAGAAATGTATGACACATGACACATTCAGAAATGTCTAACACATGACACATACAGAAATGTCTGACACATGACACATGACAATTACAGAAATGTGTGACACATACACATGACACATGACTCACAAATTGTCGAGAACGGGTTCATCCACGGACTTCCTCACATTGTAGACAGCGATGCCTCCGTCATAGTATCCGACCTGGGGGAAAGAAACGAATGACAAAGTCATGGCGTGGGTGGCATGTCAAGGGCTTTCTGCGTGTGTGTGTGTGTGTCTCTCCCTTCATCTCTCTCTTTCTCTTTCACTCACTGTCTCTCTCTGTCTGTCTCTCTCTCTGTCTGTCTGTCTGTTTGTCCTGTTTCTCTCTCTCTCTCTCTCTCTCTCTCTCTCTCTCTCTCTCTCTCTCTCTCTCTCTCTCCTGACAACACACAGGAGGTCAACACTCGCTCTGTTGTCCTGGAACCCTTTGGTTAATGTTGTGAAGTTACCTAAAAGACAGAAACTCCTACTACATATTCAAAACATCAGTTTTCTTCCCCCCCCCCCCCCACCCCCACAACGATTTATGCCATTAAAAAAAACACATTTGGGGATTTTAATTCCGATCTTCCACACTGCAGTACAGCATGGTACCAAGTAGTTATCAATATATATTAACTTTTCCCCCCAAATTGTAGCGAAGAGAAGTATACTGACACAGTAAGGACCATTCAGAGCGGGGAAAGAGTTAGAAAAGCAAAAAAGGAAAGAAAAGAAGTAGGACTTACCAGTGGCACCCTCCAGCCACCTGTTGTGTTCAAGTTCGTGTTACTCAAGAGTAAGAGAGGTAACAAGATAGGAAGACAAGGTACCAAGGATGTAGAAAAAGTCAAAGAGTAAAAAGGAAGCTTCCGTCAACATTTTCAATGTATCAGTCAAACTCTTCACCTTGCATGCAAATGATGACTTTGATTCCCAAATGGGAAAGATACAAAATGTCTTTTTAAAAAAGGGACTCATTTTAAGGGCAACATCTCAGTATTTTTATTCCAATTTCAACAAAATTTGAACAAATGAAATTCAACCAATGGGATGTCACACTAGTCAACAAGAAGAAAATCAACTACTTGTTCAAAAAATATTAAATTTTAACTCTTTGAAGATGTAGTGGACAAATACGTCCGATCAGCAGTACGCCAAAGGCAATGTTGTGACACATTTGTAACAATCTTACACAAATTAGAAACTTGAATTACATTTCATTGTGTACCTTTTGTTGCTGGTCAGAATGAAAAAATGTGCTAGAAAAACGAAATTAATGCGGGTTATCAAAGAACTAAAAATTTTAACCAAAATTGAATGCAATGTGAAACTTGCAACTTCTTAAGTATTAACCAATCGTGTATTGGGGCATTGAGAAACACATTTGTATAAAATTGACATTGCCCAATAAAGTCAGGGAA